AAAAGCATTCACTAAACAAATAATGGTTTCATTTTGTGTTTCCATGCTAAAGTTTTGGATAAGTCAAGCATCTAAACAAAAACTTCTATTATTCAAGAACTAATTCAAAATATCATGACACCCTGGGAGAGCTTCTGAAAGTTAAAAAAAAAATGTTGTAAAGTTTTATTAGTGCAACCATACTTATTTTTTACTAAAAGAAGCCTAAACAGCACTGGCATACGTTTGACCTAATTTTAAATGATCATTTTATGGGAAATGACCTCTGGATTCCAAATATGCTGGGTGGAAGCAGGGACAGGTTTCCCCCACATCTGCCACTCCATTGACAATGCAATAGTCATTGTACTTAGGACATACATTAAGCACTTTGCCCTTTTGTGTAGCCTCAAAGCTGGTCTAACATCTTTGGGACTACTCAAGCATTAAGTAAACAAACTACAGTAGGTAGAAATAAATTGGTATTTCCTAACTGAATTTGCCAAGTTAAATACATTCCCAAGCTTCTAATCAGGCAGATGGCCCCCCACTCATAAGGGTTCATAATATTGTCTAACATTATTGGATCATTTCAAGTCCCTCCATTATGAGTATGAGAATGGAGGGGAACAAACTCAGGAAGGCCATGCCTCCAAAGTGAAATTAGCATCTAGAAATGTTCTCAGAGAGAGTTGATGCAAGATAATATAGTCACAAGGCCCTAAGCAATTTAAGTCTTTTCTCTTTGCAAACATTAGTTCAGTTCCACCGGTGACAGCAAATGAGAGCACTGGTCTATACAAGATGCTGACAACTTTCCATACATACAGCCTGACCCTAGGGGATTCAGCAACACTGCTTAAAATATCAGTAGATGTCTTAAAACCTGGAACACAAGTGTTTCCAGTTTTGCTGTTATAGTGTATCTGAATCAGTGACAGAAACGTTGGGAAATTTGGGGGGGAAAAAAAACAACCTATCTATAGATGCCTTCTCTTTGTAATACCCTACTCACATTTGCCCTGCAAGAGCATCCCACGAAAAGCATAATTTAACGAGAGTGCACTACACTACACTCCTCACTGGGGACAACCAGAGGGGAAACACAGACCAAACCAGAAAGAAGCAAAAAAGGAACAACAGTGATATGCAATACACTTCTAAACTGAAAAATGTTGGCTACCTCAGCTAAGAAAAGGAGGAATGCTGCGGAGTCCAGTAAATATTCTCTAGGACCATGTACCCTGATGATAAGAACCCAAGAATTCTGAGGGAAGCCATTCCAGTATTCATTTTAAAATTCGAAAATGTACTTGGCCATATTTGAATTACCTGGAAGAACTACAAAAAAGTTACTGCAGTAGTTCTGGGGGCGGTGTTTATTTTTATAAACTGCACATTCACGGTAGAGAAAAGCATGCTATTCCTACCTAACCAGGACGTATGTTAAACATTTTTACATTTGAGCTCCACACTGCAAATAATATAGTAGAACTAGCCATTAGTGGTATCCTTAGATATATGATTCAGTTTGAATGTCTACGACATGTGATTGAAGAACTCAAGAGAAAAATCTGAGTTAAAAGTCCAACATTAAGTCCAGATGTGAAAACATCCTGTCATCACCTGAGTTTACTTGTGTTTAATTCTCAGCCTCCCATTCAGTACCGAAAAACACAACGCTTGTCCAAACAGTCTAAGACTTAAGCCATGGGTATATCTAATACATCTACTGCTTTCATGTTAATACACCTTAATAGTTGGCTATCTAAGATTTAGAAAAATGCAAGTCTGTTTAGTCTTATCCAAAAGTTTGCTCCTTGTTCCTGGGATTTATTAAACAAAATAGCATTGTTCTATAAGTATCAAACCTTTAAAGATTTTTCTCCCTGGTCTTCATAAGCAATACCAGTTTGCACTCTTTATACTGAGCAGTTCTGATGGAAATAAGCCTCTCTGAAAGCTATTTCTCAATCAGCTGAACAGAGCTTCTTGCTTCAGAGAACACAAAAGAGCGGCAGCTACTTACCTGCAGGTCAAACAGGTTAGTTTTCCCTTTAATCGACTGGCACGCTGTTCCACAAAAACAATCACCTAGGCGTATCTGACTTCTCTAACTCAGTGAGTTTGAGCAGATTGTTCTAAGCTGTCTCATGCTGTCACTATCCCATTGCTACCCAGCATAATTCTTATACACTATGTCTTTTTATCTACTTCTCTTATACTGTATTCTGATTTTGCTTCTCCAATAACGACCTTAAAAATTATTGGCTCATCTGTTTTAGGGTTTGCTACATCAACCACCTTTACTTTAGGGCTGTGCAAAATTTCACCAGGTGTTTCTATCGAAGCTGTTCCGACGCATTTCAAGCTCAAAACAGCAAAATCAAAATGAATAAAAAGCCTTTGAAACAGCTTTGAAAGGAAAAAAGGGCACTCAAAATGTTTCCGAAGCGCTGCTTTTGGGGGCCTCTTTGAAAGCGTGCAGATCGCGGGTCCGCACCCCGGGAGGAGTCCAGCACAGTCCTGCAGACCTCCTGGGGGTGTGGGCAGACCGCCGGATCAGCGCGCCGGGTGACAGGAGGCTGCCCCTGCCAGCAAGTGTCACTAGTTTTGCTTTGAACAGTTTGAGGTGGTTTCCCAGAAACCTCTGCACCTATCTCCTTGAAACTTGGCAGGTTTCATGGCCTCGGAAGGGGCTACAATCCCTGCAATTTGCATCTGAATCAGGCAAGAAATGACAAAGTTGTGGTTATTTTCATGATTCCCCATTATAGCCTATGGGCGAAAATGTCAAAACAGTTTCGACAAAACTAAATGGAACGGTGCTTCGAAACGACAGAAAATGACAAAACAAAACACTGTCCCTTCGAAACGGTGAAACGGAATTTGAAACAGAACGGTGCTGTTTCACACAGCCCTGCCTTACTTTAGTTTGTTTGTTTGAAACTTAACCAGCTCTTGATGGTGGAGCTGTAATCTTGGTAAACAGAGTATTAATACTTTTAAGTTTTCTTTTCTTTTTTCTTTTTTTTTGGTAATACTCCAGGGCTATACTCTAAAAAGAATATTACATTTTTTCATTGGGAGAGAATATAATTCTAAATCTACAGTGGGACAAATACATAAATCTTAACTATAAATTACTGTAAAGATTTAATGTCTTTGTGCATCTGCTTCTGTACAACGAATACCAATAAACAAAATCATTACACTCATTAAGGTATAATGGCACCTTCAAAATCTAGAGATGAAGGATCCTAAAAATCATATTTAAATAAAAATCTCAGAATCTAATTTTGTTGCTTCTGTGTTTGGTTTCAATGAAGTGAAACAACACATGAAAAGGTGCTGCTTTTAAAAATACATTGCTAAACCAGATTTGGCCCAACACACAGGATCAGTAGTTATAATAAATTATTTTCTACAGTTTCTCTCCCCAGAGGATTTCAGACCACAAACCAAAATGAACTGAATGTCACACCACTCGTAAGGGGGTTTATTATTCATTTTCTACAGACCAAAAAATCTGGAGCACAAAATCATTAAATGACTTGCCCAAGGTCACACAGGAAATCTTTGATAAAACCAGAAGTAGAACCCAGCTCCCCTGATTTCAAATCCCATAGCCTCTTAATGTTACAAAACCTTTTTAAATTAAAATCCAACAGAGAAAGCTTGATGCATTCCCTCAGTGTTTACAAACCAAACCAAATTAACAGTGGTAGGGAGCATTTAAAACCAGAATATTACGCTGACTAAAAATAAGAGCAGAAGTGATTAGTCAATTTTCATTTTCTGAAGCATGGGTAAAAGCAACAGGAAACAAAAATAAACACTGAAAATTATAATTTAAAAAAATATCCATTTTAATAAATCAACTTACTATTATAGCATAATTCCACTTGTTGGAAATGTAACACTTTGGAGTTCGTAACATTCATTTACCTTGATCGTGCCAATCATGCCATTACTTTGATTCTCTTCACATTTAAAAATAATGAAGTGAACTCATAAATATGTACAGCATTTGGCTCTGTTATTTAGTCAAGGAATCTCTCACTGTTTCAATATTTTACGTAAGATTTGCACTTATATAAAAACCTATGGATCATTCAAAAATATATAATGTAAAAACATTATATAAAGTAAAAACATAACTGTTTACCCTCTGCTAATACTGATACAATTCAGGGACATGCAGCAACAGAAACTGGTATCCTATTCTCAGGCCACGTTACAGTAGTGCATCTCTCTCCTCCTACCCCATTCAGGCCAAACAACATTCCCAAAGTAGAGGCTCTTCAGCCTCTGCCCTTGTTCCCCCACCCCCATTCCCTCTGGCACAGACTACCACTTGTGCCAAATTAAAAGCAAACTTATTTAATTTGATTCTTAACCTGATCTTGATCCCTGGAACCTGGATTTTCAGAAGCATTTCTCTCCTGACCTAATGGCCAGCTATAATCTAAAGCACACCAATAAAGGCCAAATATTAGCAACTGTTTTTTATAATGTACGACTTGTCTAAAGCTAGAGCCAGGCACGCTCTACTCACAGCAGGTGACTGAGCAGGTCTACACTGGGGAGAGGACTGAGCAGGAGCCTGAATCCAGGTCCAGCTCTGGACTGGAGAACATCAAGTTGCAGGCGCCATTCTTGTTTCACCCCAAAATATCCAAACGTGTTCCTATGTTTCCCCCAACTCTCGGCCCAACACGTCATAAAGATGTCCATGCTCACGAGTTTCTAGCCACACTTGAACCACAACTGTAAATATTTATATTCAGTTCCAGGTTTTCATGGTTACACTGGGTTGTCGTCACCGAAGTACCCATCAGGA